GAGTGTCTCAATTCCCTTAAGCTTGAAGGCATAGGGCTAAGGGGAAGAGGTAGATAGCCCTTCGAACGGAGATTTTTTAGGAACAAACTCGAAACCAAAGGGTAAGAAAATTTCCCAGAATACACCAGCCACAACGGCAGGATAACTGCACCCAGAGTTAAAGAGATCCATAAATTAGTATTTTTTGTCATTATTACAAATTTTTACAACAAACAAGCAGATGTTTTAATATATTCATGACCGCATTCGTGGTTTTTCGTGTTTTTAAAAAAATCCTTAAATAAAAAAAAAAACACTAAATTTCCCTGTCTATATTGCATAATAATAACTCCTGTATAGCAGTCCCACAACATTCTGACACTCGATGACACTCGAATACCCTGTCAGAAAAAGTCTAGTGGCTGGGAGTAAGCTTTTTACAGTGTCTGCTACAAAAATGGAATTGGGATTGGGCCTAAATAAAATTATGATGTGTATCAACTTACTAATCAACCAAAACGTATTACAATCATAATGGTGGACCAAAATACTTCTCATTCCTGTTTTGAAAATAACATTTTATGTTACATACTCTTAAATATTATTTATATAAAAGAAATGAAAATGAAAATATGTAAAAATAAATATATCCTGTGTTCACTCAGAAATGGCAACTAAATTTTAGTTATTTACAACAAAAACAAATTAACACGTTAAATAAACAATGTTGTTTTTATGAAGCTGCTATGATAATGTATTAATATTTATGCACTTGAAATGCATAGTAATAAACTTTTATAATTATAATAATAATGCTGTATGAATGAAAAAGTAAAATAAGTAACTTAAATAAATTATGATGTGTATCAGTTTGTTAATAATACTGTATGAATGTATTTTTAATAATAAAAAAAACTTCTTAAAACGTTGTCATTTTTCCATGATGTGTTATTTATTTCTGCTGTATATGTTAAGCAAGTCAGTGTTTGTGTTTGGGTTGTTGTTGATCCTCAAAAGGGTACAGGTGAATAAAACCCTTGTAACTCACTTGAGGTTTTGATGTAATCAAATCAATGTGGCAATAATAACTTGAACTTGTCCGCAAATCAATTTAATAAGGTCTTTGAAGACATACTGAAGCACTCCGTTTTAAATTGTACTCTGAAAGTGTGTTTAAAATGCAACTGAATAAAGAGTACCCTTCACAAACTTTCTGAAAATCACAAACCTATTAATTTAATTTGTTTATCTCTTGAGTTTGCGTTGTATTATTTCAATTTAATTTACATGTATCTTTCAAAACAGATCCAAACTGTGCTCGCCTAGTAAACCAGACATATAATACAGTAAAATATAAAACAGTTTGTTATTAGAACAAGAATCATTTGATGACATATTAAAATATATTGAGGATTACATTGCAGTCTCAAAATAATTAATCACCATTTTTAAATCTTTAAACCGTCGGTCTCCTTCAAATCACTAATTTTTACCAAAAAAAATTTAGATTTTAATAATTTAATAACATTTCTAATGTCTTCAATTTTTGCATGCAAGTTTAACACATTTACAGTGCCTGTGTGGTTGAAGGACTCATATTTTATGCTCACTTTCGAGATCTTTTAGGCTGCACCTTCACACCTTGCTGGCAGAATTTAGATATGCTTTAATTTAAAGTGCAAGGCAGGAAAATACAGAATGCCTAAGCCATTTATGTTGGTGATGTCTGACAAGCTAAAGAGTATTTTTAAAAGCCACCTCCACATTTTTTGGAATTGTAACAAGCACATGGAGTAATGAGAATAGTGACAAATGAATGTACAGCTCACCGAAGTGATGAAAGGAGAACTACGGGTTGCCTCTAATGCAGGATCAAGCATTGATTTTTCATTTTCTCTTCTCCACCTTTTGTTTTCTTCGCCTGAAATAAAATGTTGCGTCACACTGGGACCGAATGTGATGAAATGAGATGCATTTACCTCAATGTAATTCTAAATAATAAACCAAAACCAGACAGAAATCTTCCAGGAAGTTGAATTATTGACTCACTTCAAAAACCCCAACAACAAACCTACAGACACGGATTATGTAATGTGGTTAATGCAGACAAGCTTCCACATTAAACAGGAAAATCTTGATCAAAGTGAAATCACAACTAGACGGAAGGTCTAAAGCTCGATAGAAGTTCATGTTGCGCCATCTAATGGTGCAATGTAGTGACTGCAGATGTTTAATTGAAAATAATTGCAGACTCATTACGATGCCGCATTGCTTGCACATAAGATGTTGCATAGTTATCTCACAGTTCCATTGGAATGTTAAAATGCACTAGATCCATCACTAATAAAACTAAACGAAAGATATATTAGACTGAGAGGGATTACCATTATGAAGAAAGAGAATGTTTGGAAACTATAGGCTATTTACTGCTTCCTTGGTTTATGAATGGAGAGTTTTGCGGAGAGAGACAAATCACAATTGTGAGAAACACATTCCAGATTTTGAAATGAATAGGCTACCATTACTTTGAAGACGCAAAAAACATACATGCCAAACAAATTAATATCTTTAGCTCTGGAAAATGTGTTGAGGTCCCTGCAATATGGATTATTTACAACAATATTACTCATTATTTACAACATTACCTTTAATCTTGTAAACAAGTTTACGGTGAGGTGGACTCCCCCTTCAAATGAATGATATCTGATTTTGTGTACCACAGAAAAAAAAACTTACAGGTTTTGCAACCTTGAAAAAAAAATCGTAGGAGCTGTTGCTTTAATTTTTTTTTTTAATATTAAAGCCACTCAAAATATTCATTCAGAATGATTTAATGATTCATTTAAGTAATCTGTATTATGGGCGATTCGTAGAATCGCTCGGAAAGAAAGAGTTTTTGATAATTTTCTCTCACAAAATATTTGATTTTCCTTTAATTTTTTTCAGAATTGCAGGATAGCAACCCACATTGATAGTTATAATGACTGAATTGTAATATACAGTTGAAGTCAAAATTTAAAACCCCCCTGCATTATTAGCCCCCGTTTATTTTTTCCCCAATTTCTGTTTAACGGAGAGAAGATTTTTTCAGCACATATCTATGCATAATAGTTTTAATAACTCATTTCTAATAACTGATTTATTTTATCTTTGCCATGATGACAGTAAATAATATTTGACTAGATATTTTTCAAGACACTTCTATACAGCTTAAAGTGACATTTAAAGGCTTAATTAGGTTAACTAGGCAGGTTAAGGTAATTACTCAAGTTATTGTATAACGATGATTTGTTCTACTATCAAAAAATATAGCTTAAAGAGGCTAAAAAAATTTAACTTAAATGGTTTTTAAAAATTTAAAACTGCTTTTATTCTAGCCGAAATAAAACAAGACTTTCTCCAGAAGAAAAAAATATTATCAGACATACTGTAAAAATGTCCTTGCTTTATTAAACATCATTTGGGAAATATTTAAAAAAGAAAATCAAAGGGAGGTGCTAATAAATCTGACTTCAACTCAATATATTCCTTTTTGTAAAAACAATATCACAATTAGGAGAAAAACAGTAACTAGCAGACAAAAACACAATCCTGACATGTAATTACAGTAAAGTATAATTCTTAGGGGAAAAAAGTTTATCATGTTATATATTCGGTATTGTGCAATATAAACTTGATATTCTGACTTATTTTCACTTTCTAATAGATAAACTTGTAGTTCTAAGAAAATTACAATCTAATAAAACATTAAAAGAAAAAGAAAATTAAAAATGTAAATGTAATAGTGACTTGTTTCTCACAATTCTGAGTTTTTTAACAAGGTCGAATCACAAAACGTATCATGTGATTTTAAGTTGAGAAAACAAGCTTCCATAATGTTAACTTGTGAAGCCGTCAAACTGACATCGAGAAGGACCACACTCCAAATGTGGAAGCAGATCACATTTTTTTTCTGTTGATTAACTTGCACAAAGTAACTGTTCACCTAAAGAATAGCCATGTGGGCTAGCAAACATAATACATTTTGATTTTACAGGAACTTTAACGTGATTGTTTACACAAAAGCTGACACGTATGTCATTATTTATTCATCCTCTTCTTGTTACACACTTATTTGAGCTTCCTTAGTTTCTTGAACACAAACGAAAATATTTTGAAATTGAAAAAGTTGGAAACCTGTAACTGACGTCCATGGTATTTGATTTTCCTTTGTGGAAGTCTGATTATATTTCATTCCGCATTCATTCATTCATGGCTTAGTCCCTTATTTATCAGGTGTCGCCACAGCGGAATGAATCGTCATCTATTCCAGCATAAGTCCAACCACAACCCAGTACTGGGAAAAACCCTCAAACTCTCACATTCACAGACAGTTACACACTACGGCCAATTTAGTTCACCCAATGCATACCGCATGTCTTTGGTATGTGGGGGAATCCGGAGCACCTGGAGGAAACCCACGCAAACACAAGGAGAACATGCAAACTCCATACAAAAATGCCAACTGACCCAGCCCTGAACCAGCGACCTTCTTGCTGTGAAGCTACATGCCACCCTGGAGTTTTAGCTTTATTCTTGACAGAAAAAATAAATGTAAAGGTTTGGAACCTAAATTTAAGTAGCCTAAATAGTGGTTACAATTTCATTTTTACTGTAAGTGAAGTAGTCCAGTGAAGTCTATGTTTTATCAAAAGAATCAGTGAACTATTCTGCATGAATCTTTTTGGTGAATTGATTCAAACGATTCAAAACACTTAATGAAGCATTCCCCCATTATTTCACCTTTTTTTTAAAAACTGTTGGTCAAGCTAAGACTTAAAAGTTGTGGTACTTTTAGTATGTTTAATAAAGGAAGTAAAATAGAAAAATGTCGAAGGAAATCACAATGTTTTGATTCGTTGTTACTGTCGAGGCATTGTTTCACTGTCTCAGCTCTCAGCATTGGTAAAGAAGCTGTCGGACTGGCTTTTGTGAAGCCTCTTACACCGCTAGATCTTAAAGCCCGTCGTGTTTTACGGAGTAATGCTTCGTCAGGGGAAAAGTGGACTGGAAATCTCTCTAGGATACAAGTGGATTCGTTACTTTAAATGAGTTTAGACTTCAGGAAACATTGAACAAACGCGCAAACAAGCCGCAGGTAGAGCTTTAAGTAACTCTTATACACAGAAAAACAATGGCCGAGGTAAATCAGACGGAGGTGTATGTTTACGAACAGGTTGTTATTCTGACATCATGTGTACTTTCGTTTTTTGGCTCACTTTTGATCATAAGCACGTATGTAAGTTGGCTTGATCTTAGAACTACACCGAGGAAGCTGCTCGTGTATCTGTCGGTTTCTGACCTTCTCTCCGCGCTGTCGTACTTCTATGGAGTTTGCCAGATTTTTAAATCTGACTCTTGGGATTGTATTGCTCAAGGAGCAGTTTCCACTTTCGCTAACACCAGCTCATTCTTTTGGACTGTGGCTATTGCCATCTACTTGTATGTTTTTATTGTGAAGTCCAGCCAGAGACAAGCCGACAACTTGGTGCTGTATTTTCATCTGATCAGGTAACACAACGTTAAACTCTTCGAAGCGTTTCTTCACTGCCAGGATGATCTTAAAGGGACAGTTACCCAAAATACTCACACTAGCTACAGTCAAAATGTACTCACATCTGTATGTTTTTCTCACCCAAAAAGTTGTTAGAAGAAAGTAGATATCTCCTTTAAAAGTTTACAGGTATACCAACAGTTTAGTATCAGTTAAACTAAACTTTTATTCTGTAATTCGTGTAACTTTGTTTAATTATTGTTGTATATTTGATACATAAGTTGCTATTTATTAAGTATTAATTCTAAGGTTGAGTTGACTGTCAGAGCAACTTTAGGTTTATATGCAATTTTGATACAAAGCAGCAAAGTAAACTAAAATAAATATAGTAAATCAATATACTTCATAAATATAGAATATTTGTGCTTTAGTTTATTCTGAATAAATATAAATAGTGAACAAATTCACTTGTTTATATATTCAATGATGTTAGTAAAAGAAAAAGCAGAGTTTATTTGTGCCAAGGATTACATACATGTCCCCTTTTGGTGTCTGCAGAAGTTAAATAAATTAAAAAGTGATTTTATGTAAATCTGAAACATTTTAAATGCTTATAAAGTGCAAACCTTAAAAGTTTTACTGAAAAACTAAAATAATAAAATCTAAAAATATGGGTAAAATGTCAGATATTTTATGTAAAAATGAAACAACATACGTCTGTCATCAACACTCTCGGGATTTAGAATGGTTATAAATATTTATATGGCAATGTTGATGTATTTGGTCTTGGCGAAATAGATCTGCTAAGCTGCTGCTACACGGTTGCTTTGATTATGGCAGAGCAAGTACCTCAACCTGTTACTGCCAGTATATACACAGTCATGCTATCTGAGAATATAACACGCTGCTGCTGCAAACATAATGTAAACCCCGTAGCAGATTTAAACACAGGTGGATTTTCCACAGAATTCCGCAGATTTTTACCCCACCGTTAATTCTGTTTATTTACCTGAGTAAATTGTTGTAAATCTATATTTATTCATTTTTTTAAATTAATTACAGTAACATTATTGACTAATATGAAAATGTTTATCTGATTTTTGTACAATGCCATTTGTACAGTAATATTTTCAGTCTTTTAGTAGATACATTATGTGAGAGACTTGCTTTGTTTACCAAATAAAGTGAATCTAATTGGATTTGCATTTTAAACATTAAATAAAAGTTAAAAAGATATTATTTTTTATTTCATATGTTAAGGTTTTAGTTTTGATACTCCTGAAATAATTCTGCACAAATTCCCAGATTTGTAGCAAAATTTTCCACTGAAATAGCAAAAACCGTCCGCAGATTCCGTCTGGCCCTACCTATCAGTGTGTGCGCATAGAGTTTCATGGCAGAAATTCTGAGATATAAACCGTTGTTGCACTGAATAACATCTTAGTGGATTTCTTTTTTAAATAATGGTAAAAAAAAGTATGACACTCATGTAATGTCAAGTTTAAGCATTAAGCTCTGTTGTTTTCAAAATTAAAATCCCCAGTTCTTTTTTAACATAATTATATTTCTTATCCATTTCTATTTTTAAATGTTAAAATTACATCATTTAGCTTTCAGAAAGACAAATGATCTTATATATTATATCTGCAAAAACTACAATGAACTATGGTTCTCCTGAGCTGTTTCCAGTCTGATCTTGTGACTTGTGGTTTATGTCAGCTGGGGCGTTCCTTTCGCCATCACTGTGGCAGCGCTGTCTCTGCACAAGATCGGCTATGATGCCTCTGAAGTGTCTGTAGGCTGGTGCTGGGTGAACATCCAGGCTGAAGACCACGTGTTATGGATGCTGCTCACCGGGAAGATCTGGGAGTTCATTGCCTATGTCACGCTGCCTGTCCTGTACATCCTCATTAAGATACACATTTACAGAGCAGTAAGTCCTCCAAGCTCATTCATTTAACATTACAAGTTTGCATGACATTTTTATCAACTCAAAGACAAGTCATTTCTGGAATAACTTTCAGAGTTAATGTATTAGGCACATATATCACAGAATAGTGATTTCCAGGCCTGGAAATGTCATGGAAGTTAATAACATCTTTAAAGGTCATGGAGATTTTTGTTATTAATATATTTTTGATCTATAAAAATATTTCAAAGGCTACAAAATGTAAGTACTGTCTTTGAAAAAAAAACAGTTGGAAAAGTATCAGATATATTCAGTGCTTAAGAAAGTTTTTTTTTATCTTAGTCAAGAGCTTTTTATTAAAAATATTCTACATATGATATTAAAAACAGGCAGACATACTTGTCAAACTGAAACATTTTAAAGACAGCACAATGGGGTTGGGTGGTTATACTGTTTCCTTGCACCGGAAGAATTAAAATCACTTTGTGGTTTTGAGGTTTGCCAGCCATTTCCAGTACATCTTTAAAACTGACAGATGAACCAAACTCAAACCGTTAATTTACACTAGAAAATCATTTACACTACAGTACAAAATATGGCATCAGTAAGATGTTTTTGAAATACATTTCTTTTGCTCACCAAGGCTGCATTTATTTGATTAAAAAAAGTAAACAAGTACAACATGTAATGTGTATTTATATAGGGCATTTATTGTGTATGGCTATACACCAAAAATGCTTCACAATCATGAGGGAGGCCTCTCAACACTACCACAAGTGTGCAGTATCCACTTTGATGATGTGAAGGCAGCCACAGGACAATGGCTCACCACACACCAGCTATAGTGATAGAGCCAATTTTGGGGATGGGGATGATTGAGAGGCCATGATTGGTAAGGGCTGATTGATGGTATTTGGCCAGGACACCTAGGTTACACCCAGGGCCGGCGCTTCCATAGAGGCGACCTAGGCGGTATAGTGACCTTCACTATACTGGGGCAATAGGACTTACACAGACCACAGGTTAAGCGCCCCCTGCTGGTCTCACCAACACCACGTCCAACAGCAACCTAGTTTTCCCATGTGGTCTCCCATCCAGGTACTGACCAGGCTCAGCGCTGCTTCAGTCATTTGCCAGTCTTGGGCTGCAGGGTGATATGGCTGTGGGTCATTCAGCATTGCTTTGGCATAAAATGCATTTAGGACTACATCTTTTTATTAGATTTATTTGCTCACTTAAGCATAACACTTCCAAAACTATGTCCTGTACAAAGTTTCAAATAATAATGTAATGAAAATAACATTACGGTTGACATTTTAATAAGCATTAGCATCTAAAGGGTATCAGTGGAAAGAGCTCTTTTGAGTTCACTCACTGTTAGATTGTTTTGGTGTGTGTTCATGTGTATTCTGTACAGTACAGTAATATTTAACACATCTGTCATATAACTGTGGAAAGACTCTTGGACGTTATTCATGGTCTGCAGAAAGTAATTAGATTATTCTAATAGTAAGTTTCTCTATAAAATTAAGATAATCTGAGAAAACCAGAAGTCGTCAGAACAGAAATTAGCACTTACAAAAATAATTTGTTTTGTTTTTCATTTTGAATAAAAGCTTGTGCTAAATGAGTAAACATAAATGCAAATATGAAATACAGTTTCCGCATTACTACACCATGTTTTTTTTGTCGTAAGCATACTGTGTTATTTGTTGTAATACTGGTTATACAAATAGTAATCAATGTTCCAAAAACCATAGTGATCAGGTACCAAACTGTAATGGTTATTTTATCCTAAGAGTGGTTACTTAATGCAATTCAAAAGTGTAAATAAATGGACAAACACTAGTGAATCACAAGCTATAGGCAATTTCTGTTTAAATGCAGTTGTTTAGCTGTTAATTTACAGATTTATGTTGATTTGGTTCCTCTATTTTCACCATATTCCGAAATGTGGACGTTTGCTCCTTTTTTTTTTGCAATTGTTTAAAGACTTCTGATTCATTTGCCTAAAAGTGATTAGAATAACAAGGGGCAGTGAACGTCCAAAATACTTACTCTACAAAAAAGTGTGTTTATGAATATACATAAAAATAAAATTATAGAATAAGAAAATGCCAGTTTACAACATCAGTCAGCATAACAAGCTGATTTTAAGGCTAAACGAGTGAATGAGACCAGAATTCTCAAGCTAATAAGATGTCCAATGGCTCTGCCTGCTTTTAAATGGAAGAAGGTCAATAACAGAGGTCACATGCTGTGTTCATCCAACTAACAAAACTAGCCCAATAATATGGAAACTCAAAACAATCTTATGCTGATTCATAAAGTACATATTTAATTTCACGGTGTGCATTGTACAGCTTCTTATTTTTAACAACTGTATTTGGTTATTATAAACCTTCTTTTGTAGAATACATATAGTTTTGCATTTACTTTTTAGCAACAATCCTAGAGACTTTTGTCAATCTATTACTATAGAAACAGCATCCATACGCCCTAAAAGTATGTACCTTTGTTTTGAAAGAAAAACATATCTTTTGAGTGTGTAACAGAAGAGTATGCAAGCTCTGGGACATATGACTTCCTCGTTAACAAATTGTTATGTTGCTCAGTAGCATCCCCTGTCATCATCTAAACGTCATTCACATTTCTGTTATAACTCCGTACCTTATTGGAGAAGCAGCAGCAGGTTAATCTCCATTTAGACGTTAAAGGTACAGTTAGTGATCTGCCAAAATGCTAATCGGTTAGCATATTAGCTTTGGACAGCAGGGGAGGGACTGTGTTTCAAAACCACGCCTTCTGAAATCACGAACGCGCCCACCGCAACATGACAGCAGACAACCCACTAGTTCATGTCATTCGCCCGTTAGAAGTGAATGTAGTGGTTGGCCGGTGGCATGCAGGAATTTGACTTATTACTAAGCCACACTTTTTTATTTTAGAGCGAATATTCAGAGTAGCATGGTAGACAATATCGGAAGCATGTTACAGGCTGTCATTGTTCAGAAATTACCCAATGTGAATATATAAGCAACTTCAGCTCATAAAGCAGGCTAGGCAGAATAGCGGCAGAATATTTACTGATGCTTTGTTGTTAAATTAAATATAAATCTACATTATCGATGATGTAAAAAGCCATTTCGCTGGGAGATTTCAGTGGCTGAACAACACTTCTGTGCATATAACCCATTCATAACACAACACACTCTACATCAGCTTTGCGTGAAGCTAAAATAGTTCAAAAATATATATTACCTGTCTAACAGAAATACTTCATCCATGGTGCTGTTCTTTCTCCAGCGTGCAAAAGTAACTCCAATTTTGATTTAGGAATTTGAAAAGTTTCAGTTCAGCATTTGATATTGCTACGACTGTGACTGTCTCGTGTGCACGTGTCATGCAGGCATGCACACACTAATGGCGAATATGCGTGAACAGAGATGCTCAAACACCCAACTCTGCATTTGTTGACAGACAGTTTGAACTACTTATCGGAATTATGGGAGATGCCGGCTCGACAATATTTAATACGTTGAACATTTTTTAGTTTTGTGCGTTACACAGAATATAAAAATAAATAAGCTATGAACACATTTAGATCATTTGCTGTAATCATTACTATTGGACTGTGAAGAGACTTTCAGCTAGCACAACAAAACATGTTTCTGAGTACAATCACCTACTGCACCTTTAATGTTCAAACATGTCTTTATATAAGTTCAGTATTATTGTTTCAGATGAAATATAACACAGAAAAAGCTATTTAAATATTTCCCAGTGGGCTAGATATTAATAAACTGTCATAACATCTTTACAGAAGCCTCTCTACTTTACAGTTGGTATCACGCGTCCACCATGTTTGTAGTTTATTTACACTTTTGACTCGCTTTTGTAGTTCTAATCAAATTCACGTCCAACATGCAATGTATTGTGGGAAATATCAGTGGTTAGAGTATGGACGATTCTACACTTAAATAGTAAACCACCTGAGAACCTTTGCCATACTCTTTTCAACATACTACGATTTGGGACATAGTAATTCCATTTTCAAATACTATTTAGGACGGATACTATGCAAATTGGAAACAGCACATCTTCCCCCTGCAACTTTCTATGTTTCATTCATCCTAGCACATTTTTATCATTGGTAGAACACACATTTGGTACAGTAAAATATTTCAATACAACCATGTACATGTAATTAACGCAGTATTTTTACCTGCAGACTAAACAAACAAATCTCGGCAGTTGGTTTTAATATCACAATATCTGGAACACAGAGAACTTGACAAAGAATAAGGCCACTCAAAAACACTCAAAACATTATTCTTGCTGCTTGGTGCTACTTATTTAAAATGAGCTGAATCAACACATTTCTTGAGTTTTTTCGGGAACAACTTAATTGTTTTATGTTCAATCCACTTAAATTTGTAAAAAGCAATGAAGTTAACCTAATCGGTTTGTGTTGGAACAACATGAAGGAATTGTGTGAACCCAGCATTTGTTTGTAATGTATTTCTCTTGCCTTGATAAAATGCTTATTTCTAGGTGAGCTAATTAACTAATTATATTCATTTTTGAAGCACGCAGCTCTGTCCGAGTACCGTCCCATCCTGACCAGCAACCCCGTATCTCACTCTCTGTCGTCCATTGCGGACCGAAAGCTCACCCTCATCCCAATCATCTTCATCATGCTTCGTGTGTGGAGCACCGTCCGCTTCCTTCTCCTCCTGACCAGCTCTCCCGCCGGACACAACCCAGTGCTGGTGACCTTGCATGTGAGTTTCCACCTGGATCCACTTAATTACCTCAAATTGAACTTCATTTTCTTGAGTTTATATGTGCAATTCATCAAAGTCATTTACCTGTATATGCCAATATTGCATTGGGCAAACTCAACCATTTTTCTTTTTAATAGGGAATTGGAAACACCTTTCAAGGAGCTGCGAACTGCATTATGTTTGTGCTGTTCACTCCTTCCATTCGCTCTCGGCTGATAGCTCTGCTGCTCTGTAGAGGTCAGGACAGAAGCTGGAACTCCGAATCAGCATCCCAGAACAGGACAAACGATCATACCGTTTCACACAGAGAGGATAACAGTGAAGAATAATGCTTGATATTTGACGCGGTATATGATACAGAAGAGAAAGCTCTGACTTTATAGGCTCTTTTCTATGAGCCTTACTCTCTTTCCGCTCAGCCTTGTTGTTTGACCAAGCGCTTTGGCAGATTACAGGGGGGACTGCGGTCACATGCACCAAACCCGCAGAGCATGGAAAACACAAACGCACTTTCTGTTAGCGCTTTAGCTCAGCACTTTAGGCGAGAGGCTTTCTGTCTTCCAAATCTGTTTTCGTTCGGCTGCCGCAGATATCTCATGTTCATTTAAATAGAAATGAGATCTGTAGCTCAGGGGAAGCGAGGATACAGCAGTTTATTATCTGGTGACCAAAATGGCAAATGTACTGTGAAGTGTTTTTACAAGGGATTTGTTTCCCCCCGACAAAGCACATGCATTCATAATGCAGAGTTATTACATTACATCACATCAAATGTGTGTGTGTTTTTTTTAAAGCATGATTTATTTGTATTATATACTGTATTAATATGTATGTGTAGTAATTTGTGCTATAATATCTGTTTTCTTGATTCACTTTTTTGTACTGTATATAGTGTAGTATAGACCTAGATGAGCAAATTCTGCAAATAGGACATGCAAATATGCACATTTATTGTTATTTCACACAATGCCTTTAAAATGACCTTGTACGTACTGTAATTACCCATTTATATTTGTATTATATTTTATCAGAGCATCTATTGTTTCAATAAAAGAATTTATTACTTGTCAGGCTTAGTGGTATATTAATACCATTCTATATTTCATTAATGTTTTGATTTTTAATATAATTTTAATGATTTTTTTTATATTTTATTGTGTAATTTTATATTTTTTATTTGAATGAACAAAACAAATATATTTACATTTTATTTCATCCGTATTTTAATTAACAAATACTGACCCAACTGACAGCTTGCATCTCTTTTTCTTTAAAAAATTACAGGACATTTGATTTTTAATATTACAGTTTTTATTTCTTTTTTTTTAAACAATTGTTTAACACATAGCTGGCAGCTAGCTCTCTGCAACTCTCAGATGGTCACCCACTCAAGCTAAGCAGGTCAGTACCTGGATGGGAGGCCACATGGAAAAGCAAGGTTGCTGCCGGAAGTGGTGTTAGTAGACTAGCAAGGGGCGCTCGACCTGCAGTCTGTGTGGGTCCTAACACCCCAGTATAGTAAAAGGGACTCTATACTGCTCAGTGAGTGCCGCTGAGATGTTAAACTGAGGTCCTGACTCTCTGTGGTTGTTAAAAATTCCAGGAGAAAAAAAAACGAGTTTACCTCGGCATCCTCTGTCCATCATGGCCTTATAATTGGCTTCTGCAGTCTGGGGCAATATGGCTGTTGTTGTGTCATCCAGGTGGATGCTGCACACTGTGGTGAATGAGGAGATTCCCCCCAAAAATGTTTAAAAGTGTCCAGAAATGCACTATATAAATAAGTAATTATTATTATTATTATTATTATTATTATTATTATTATTGACTATTTGATCAGATAGAGATGCAGAATCTGTCTTTTAAGCAGAAAAAAATGATTGAAGAAATTCTGCATGAGTCACCAGAAAGGCGTCATTTTCATTAAAAAAGATGACTTTTGCTGCGTTTCAGACAATTCGGAATTAGGAGAAGTTTTTCTGCCTCCAACTTATGAAATAACGTCTTGAATGCTGCTAGAAGTCAGACATCTGAACCGTGAACTCGGAACAAATCAAGGAACAACAATTTCATTGAGAAGCATAATTTGACGTCACTCCAAATACGACGCTAGTTATGCTTCATTGAGATTAGAGCAAGGCAGCTTTACATGAAACAAACTTTCAAGTATGTTTACAGCACAAAATAAGTAGAAACTTTACAGACAAATATCATTTGTCAGATGATAATATTTTTATAGTGCAGTATACAGTGTTTGTTTTGTTTTATTCATTCATTTTCCTTCGGTTTAGTCCCTTATTTATCAGGGTTTGCCACAGTGGAATGAACGGCCAACTATTCCAGCATATGTTTTATGCAGCGGATGCCCTTCCAGCCGCAACACAGTACTGGGAAACACCCATACACTCTCACATTCACACACGCACCCATACACTACGACCAATTTTGTTTACCCAATTCACCTATAGCACATGTCTTTGGACTGTAGGGGAAACACCCAAAGGAAACCCACGCCAACACAGGAAGAGCATGCAACAAAAAAAGTGTTCTATCAACATCGACAGTTTAAACACAGGAGTTCATGAGTAGTTAAGGATGAGTTGATGATGTGCCCCTCCAAGTGAAGTCATGACAGAATTATACATTAACAGCTCATGAGTTTATGTTGGTTACGTTTAGCTTAAACTTAAATGATAATTAATAAATTATTCAACAATACGTACGTACTTAATAACAAGTAATTAAGTGTCATGTTCACCAACAATCAAACCACCAGAGGACGCTGGTAAACACTCACATCCACATGAACTACAAATCTGCTAATAAATGGACTACAAGAACCAGTCATGCTCCACATACACAACCGGTTCCAGATCCTGACTGATTGCATACACACAGCTGATGCTGCTCATGTACTGATTACACACATATATACAGCTCACTTTGATACCGTCATTACTGAGTCTTGTTATCTGCCACAGTGACATTACAACGCGTTTGCTTTGTCTGCCTTTGCCGTGTTCTGATCCTTGCCTTGTTTATTTATTTAATTCTGTTTGCTGCCAGCCTCTGACCATCTGCCTGTTAATTTGACTTCGACTCTGGTTTGCCTTCATACATCTGTTTGCTCCTGTGTTGACCATTGCTTGCCTGACCACTAAATAAACCTGCATGTGGATCCAACCTCAGTTGTTTGTGTCACTCCCCGTCGTTACATTAAGGTAGCCGTTGTACACACATGAACTCTTGTGGCTCAAGTAGTTAGTTCAGGATTAGCGCATGCATTAACTCATCATTAGTTCATAATAACGTAATGTTTCGTTTATATATTAATACATCATTATTCATATACTGTTATTGTAAAGTTTTACCAAATAACCAACTATCTTTCTGATCCTATGGTGTATGGTTATGCAGAGAATTTGCTTGATAATTATCCATGTATGTTTGCGCAGGCACGTTTCCCTATATCCTCTACATTCAGTCACTGCAGATCTTGTTTAATATTGACTAATAAGAGTAGATGACACCTCAGCTTCTACAAATATTTGATCATAATACATGATGTATAAGAATAGATCAGTCATGCCAGTTTCACCACAGTCAGGAGAACACAACAACGACTTCTCCATTATCTCAGCAGCACAATACCAGATCTGCTTTCAGTTGACTAGAAGAGGAACTGCTCTGAAGATAGCTGGGAAAAAGGGCACAGACTGAACATAATGGCAAATCTTGTGCTGGCTGTTACTGTATGTGGGCTGAGGGAGGAGAATGTATATCTACCTGCACTTAAGCTGCTGCTAACCCTCAGGTATTTCACTTGACAAGTTTGTGTAATGACAGTTGATTGACGGGAACTAGAAACATGGCTCAATAGACATTTGTGAAGCATATCATTAATTTTGACAGGAACACAAATGCAATTTAGTGTTTTATTGGAAAGCTAAAGCAGAACAACCACTCGATTTTGTTTTGCTATTTTAGATAACAGACTGGCCACAGGGACAGATTAATGATAATCGGATGCTCATTTGAATGTAGGTCTATGCGTCTCATGGAAGTGCATCTATGTGAATCAAGTATTTAATCATTTCACATTTTACAAACTAAATAAGTATTAACAAAAATAATATTACCAGTACTGAACGACCCCAACTATCTTAAATATAACAATACAAAAAACAAAATAATTTTTTATTCTATGTATAGTATTTGATTTATTGATATGAAAAATATTTAATATGGAGTTTATTAACATAAAGTTTATTAATTTTAAATTAATTTAAAGTTTGTCTGTTACAATCTTTTTAAGTCTAGGGATGTGACCCCAACAGAAAGTAAATGATTGGTGATGTGCGACAGCTGGAAAAAGAGAGAGCTCATCTCAAACAGAATGGCTAGAGAGACTGTAAAACAAGGTCAAATCAAGAAAAAGAGAAAGTTCATTTACATACATCAAGTGTACAAAGAAAACAGGGTATCAATTCAGAAAGGGGCAAGGCCAAAAAAAATACAGTAACAAACTAACTCCCTTTACCTTCATAAACAGGAGAAATCCAATTAAAAACTAATGGCACCCACCTTAATGCTCAAAAGAAAGATAAACAAACAAATCAACCAGACTCACTTCTCTTTGGGTGAATTATTAGATGTTAACAATAAGATGACTAATAGTGGAAGTTTGACTTAGATAGCCTCAACACACATGAACTACTTTAAAAAAATCTAATCTTTAAAGCGCTAGTAAACAAAAGAGCTGGATGTGAAGAGGAGCTCTGCCACTGCACCACAGCCACCACTGACATTGATTTAAAGTGCAGCTCAGAATAAATACTCTCTCTCCTCTCCCAACAGCCAATCACTGGAAAGATCCAATGATCACTACCAGGTGAACACAATTACAGTACCTGCAGGGGGAGAGAGAGAGAGAGAGAGAGAGAGAGACACAGACAAAGAGAGGGGAAAAAACAAAACAAAGCACATTGTGCACACTGGTCAGTCTCAGGACGTGATGTCAATTAATTTTAAAAGTTTACTTCAGCTTGGTCTTGTTTTCTAAACATACTTCATTATTGTGTTCAAGAACTCTATTATAAATTCATTAAGGGAGTTTGTCTTGCACCCTTACGTCTGAAAAAGATTTAGAGAAATTCCTCTGATCTTTGTTTTAACTGTAAAAAATGTAAAGGAACATTTCTTCACTATTTCTGCCGACAAAATCATCCCTTTTTGGGAGAAAATACATAATTTACATTTACAAGGACTCTTTAAGATAAAATTGTGTTTTTCTCTGGAATTGTATTTGTTATATGGTGTAGTAGAGATTGTGTGTAAAACTTTTATTGTGGTGGTCATCAGGTACCCTTCTTTAAAATGTGGTTGTCCCAAGCATGAATGTAATTTCCACACTATGGGCACCTTTTTGGCATAACCTATGATTAATAACCAAAAAGAAAAAAAAGGTTTTGGTAATAGTTTTGGTTAGTTTTAGTTTTCATAGATGTCTTTCATTATTGGTCATATTAGGCAATACTTAAATTGATCAAAATTCTGAATTAAATTGTGAATTAAAAAAATGAAATCTAGAATTTTTTTAAATTATGTCTTAATAAATTGTTTTATTAAATATATTTAAACATGCAGACTTGTCTAAATACTAAATAAATTAACAGTATTTCAATTTTTAATGCACACACTAAATTCAGAATTAATATATTAAATTTTTGCCTTACCTTTTTCAATGAGATGTGCATGATTCCATAAATTAATTTTACATAATATTATTCATTTATTAAAAAAAAAAAATCGGCTTAGTCTCTATTAATCAGCGGATGCCCTTCCACCTGCAACTTAACACCAGAAAACACGCATACACTCTCACATTCTCACACACATACACACACACACACACACACACACACAACGGCCAATTTAGCTTAATCAATTCACTCATAGTGCATGTCTTTGGAATGTGGGGGAAACCAGGGAGAACACGGAGGGAACAACATATTTTATTATTATTATTATTATTATTATTATTATTATTATTATTATTATTATATT